ACGACAACAACAATTATCAACGCCGCCACCACCACCACCAACAACAACAACAACAACAACAACATTAGTAAGGTTAAGGATAACAACAACAACAACAACAACAACAGTAAGGATAACAACAACAACAGTAAGGTCAAGGATAACAACAACAGCAGTAAGGTTAAGGATAACAACAACAAGTCACCAAGGAGGGAAGTCCACTCGTTCTGGAGAGTCTTCCATCCTTTCCATCGGGGGCGGGGCCGATCCATCCATCCACGGAGCCGGCGGTTTCTTTTTCTTTCGCGCGGCCTTCCGAAAAAACGCACCGTTGAAAAAAATAATTTTGCGATGAAAGTAGAACATGTTTAGAGCGGGTTTCCGAAAACGCACCGTTAAAAGAATCATTTTGCGGGTGAGTAGAACACTATGTGGAGCGAATTTCCGAAAACGCACCGTTGAAATAGCATATTGCGATTGAAGTGGAAGATAACCAACTGTACGTGCTACTGGGCACCGGTTCTATAACAGTAGCAGCAGTGGTAGCAGCAGCAGTAGCACATAGAGGTGTGGGTAGAGGCACTAGACACCCTACGAGCGGGAGAGGTGCTAGGGCTAGCAACAGCACGGGCTCCAGGAACGGCCTGAAAATGATGAGGAGAAGTATGTTCCAAAGCAGCAAACCCGAAAGTCATCGGACAAGACCAAAGGAGTTCCAAGGGTTCCGGCTAGCTGTTCTCCAGTTGCTCAAAGTAACACATGATATTCCTGATGCACGATGATCGAAGCAGAACGAGAAGAACTTACTGACATAGTATTGTTGTCGTCTCACACCAACATTCCTGCCGACCTCCGCCCATCGTCTCTTCTCCCCCAAGCAGAGCGCGCACCCACTTTAGAACCTTTTGTGAACCTTTTGTTTTGGTCGATTCTTACTTCTCCTGTGGGGGGTAGCCCAACATCGACTACATAGGATTTGGTGTACGCTTCTTGACTTCGCACCTATAGTACTCTGATTGTCAAGTTCTTAAATTAAATTTATCCTTTAATGAGCCTGAATTTCTCAACTCCCAGGTTTATCTTGTGTGGTGCCTAGTTTTTGTATTCGTCGAGACACACGCGGCAACCCAACAACACCGTGGCGTACAAAGGGGCACACCAGAATATTTGTACCCTCTTACGTGTTTCCCAATAAAGCTCATACCGCACTGTACACCATTTCTCGGAAATAGTTGACCACTTTTCAAACGTTCCAAAGACCAGCCTCCAAGTCACGAGTAGAAACGGCCCCACAACACATAAACGTGGCACCGAACACTAGAAGCACACACAGAGTAGCCGGGGGTTGTAAGTAACACGCAACAATATTTACCGGAGGGGGTTCTGTTGGGGTCACGTCGATGACTCCATCCGGCAGCACCGTCGCCTGCGGTTGCTGCTGCTGCTGTTTGCCACCATCATCACCCTCGTCGTCCTCCCCCCCCTCCTCATCGTAAGGCTCCGCCGCGGGCGCCAATCCCTTTAGCACCCTGTCGTGGTAGTCGTCCGGGAAGCTGGCCAAGTCGTCCTGCAGTTTGTCCTGTGTCGGAGGCGGGGGTGGCACAAGCAATGAACTAAAATCCCCGCATGGAGTCCGCGTGAAGTCCCTTGGGGGGGGGGTGTACTCATAGTCGTGCATGCCGTAGTCGTTTGCCCTTGGGGGGGGGGGGGGTACTCACGGAAACGCATGCCATAGTCGTAAGACCGTTGACCTCGCATCCCTACTGCCGGGGCGGAGCGATATGATAGCCGTTTTCGCCGGCCCAGGCTATCTACGGTTCACAAGGATCGGTGGAGGTTTGTATGTGTGGGAGGGAGGGGCGTACTCTCATGTTTTGCATGCCTTTGTGGTTAGACCGTTGACCACGCGCCCTCCAGAGGACGGAGCGTGTTTCCCACAGGACCGATCACCGATGGCCAATCGTTCCTTCCTACTTTGCCGAAGGTGGCTCAAAAATGTTTTCCCATCCTATCCAGGGGGCTGGTTTGATCGAGCATATACGTATGTGAAGTTCTAGCTTCACCTCGATGAAGGAGGCCTTTGCGTTGTACAAGGTTAAGGTTATTCATTTACCGTAGGTTGCGAAAGATACCTCACTCCCTAGAACTATGTTCAAAGCCTCATTACTCCACGACGAAGAGGATGCTGAAATGAAAGGATACGTTGTCGGAGAGCTCTCTACGAGACGGTTCCAACGCCGCCGTTTTCGGCACCGTGCCTGCGTTTCCTGCCGAGTAGTCGAGCATTGAAAATCGGGCCAGGGGGTGTGATACCTTGTGCAACCTACGGTATTGTGCTCGGCAACGTGTGAAACCCGGGGATGCCACCGGGCCGTCCCCTGACAACCAACGCCAACGTTTCAACTCCCAACTCCTTAATTTTCGCTCCCAAAAAAGGTATTCCGAATGTCTAACCACCAGGGACTACTACTGTAGGTCATCTTCCCACACCTGAAACCGACGGGTTGCCATCACATGTCCCCTGACCACAAGAGGCGGCTTGAGGGAGGAGGCTTTTCTATCCCAGCAGGAGAATTTTCTACGCCATCATTCAACTCTACCTGATATAACGTTGTTCGCTGTTAGGGCGAGTGTCACAGAATATGTAAATACAAACATGCCTAACCACGGCGTCCTCCAGCCAGACGTACCCTTGGCAACGATGCGTAGTCACTGTGCCCCCGGGCAATTGGTAACGAACGCGAGACAAGTCCGTGGCAGAGGTAGTTCTGACTCACCTTGATAACGTCCTCTGAATGTCTCACGAGGGAAGCAATCTGAGGGCCCATTCCGCCGAGCCGTGCCAGCCCGTCTAGCCCTCTCGTCACCATCACGCAGCTTCCTCCCCGCCTGACCAAGAGAATTGCGCCGCATCATGGTGTGTGCGTCGTCACGGCACAGCAACACCCTACAGCAACAGCAACAACAACAACAACAACATCACCACGACCACCACCACCACCACCACCACCACCAGCAACAACAACAACAACAACAACAACAACAACAACAACAACCCTACCTCAAGTAGAAAACCTCGATGTTGATCACGTCCGAGGGACTGCCGTCAAAACTCAGCGTCGCACCCAGGTTGGTCCTCGAGTCCGACACCGGCATGTCCGTTGGCGGCACCCCGTACTTCGGCCTCGCCTGTGCTAGACGCACGGTCCCCTTCCAGCCGGGATCGACCTCCGGCCCCACTCGCCGCTTCGCCCAGTTCCAAACAAATCTCTGCGCGCGATCAACCTGTGAAGGGGGGGGGGGGGGGGGCACTTGGGATGAAAGG